TCGCTGGCGGCTCCCCGCGCCTCTGGCGTGGAATTAGCCGACGTGTGGACGCGCTGTCGTGTGGAGGGGCCCGTGGGGCAGCCAGGGCACGCTGCCTCTGCCCACATTCCCTGGAAATGCGAAACGAGGAAGGTGCTAACTACCTGCCACGCGGCCTCTGGGGCCCGCCTGTGAGCGCGGGGCCGTCACCGTGGCTGGTGTCGCCCTGTGCCCAGGCCGGGAGGCAGGCTGAACTTAGTTATGACAGTCACGGATTTTGCTCCCATTCTTGTTTTTGAGGATGGACTTATGAGCTGGTTTTTCGGGGGGAATTATGGTGAAGCCTGCCTGGCCCTCACCTACGACAGCATTCACCTTTCTCACCCAAGGACAGATTCGCTGCCCCTTCCTGATTTCTCCCTGCTTTTACTCGGATGTGTGCTGCCTGGAGCAGCAGCAGCCATATTGTGATCAGGAGGGAAAAGGCATTAAAAGAGCAGGTAGGGCCAGCCCGTGACTTTGTGATAAGGGAGCTAGAACCCACGTGGCTGACCGCGTGCTTTGGGTCCTGGACTGGAAAACCGTGCTGGGTGTCTGCACACGTGCCCGACATCCTGAAAGGAGAGTGAGGAGAGGGATCGCAGCATGGCCACAGACAGTCAGGCGTGGTCTCTTCCTCTCTGTTTCACTCAGGGAGTGCACCCTGGCGATTTTTTTGTAAAGGTGTGTGTAGATATAACCACTATTGGCTATGAAAGTGTCACCAGGACTGTGAGAAGACAGGAAGCTGGCATATGAGAAACGGAACCAGGGGTGTGGGGATTTTGGTCTCCGCCTGGCCATGGTCCCTGGTGGCACCGGCTGGGAAGCGGCGGTTCTGTCTCTGCTCCATCCACAGTTGGCTGCAGGTCTGACGTAGGAGTAACCTGCTCAAGCTAGCGTGCTGGGACCTCGTGGACACAGCAATGTCTGAGGACGTCCCTCAGTGCTCTGGATCTGTTGTCAGCTCCTGTCCGGACAGAGCCGCGTGTCCGTCCTGCGTGTCCCGTCTGTCCTTCCTTCTCTCACCCCTTCTTTAGATTCCTTTTCGACGTGCACCCTTTGAGCTTCCCTCAGTGAAAATCACGTCTCACTGGCTTCCCCTGCCGGCGTCTTTGAACTCATTCCTTACCCAGCATTTACTGCCTTCCACACACGAGGTCGGGGCTGCGGTGAGAACAGGCAGGCACCTGCCCGCCGGTGCTTAGAACCAGCCAGGCTAGGGGCGGGCCGGGGAAGAGGAAGCCCGCACACATGCAGGTTTGGGCACCTGTACTCGCACACGCAGAGTCGGCCAGGCTCCGGGAGAACACGGTTCCTCCTCTGGATGGTGGCTGGCTGCCTTGGCCCGAGCTTTGCGTTCTGTGTTGCCACGGCTTTTCCGTGGACAGCATGCACTGTCCTGATCCTCCCGACGCAGCCCCCGCTGGCCTGGGCGCATGCCACACCCAGCTCTTCTTAGCCGGGTTTTCATTGTTGCCCACGCTGGCCTCGGCCCCCAGCAGCTGGGACTGCAGGTGCACACTGACACCCAGCCCTTAGGTCGGACCAGGAGTCAAGCCCGGGTCTCCCACGTGGTCCCAACCCGAGGAGCACAGCGTCTTCACTGCAGGTCCTGGCAGCTGGGCCCATTATCCCGTGGAGGCTCGGGAGGGCTGTGTGCGACCCTCCAGACGGTCCTAGGCTGCCCTGTCGGGGAGCAGGCA